CGCAGATCGCAGCCCCCCAGGGACGGCGAGGTCTCGCTCAGGTCCCCGCGGTGCCTCACTCCGCTGGGCCCGCCAGCAGCCCTCGAAAGTGGCGGCAGTGTCGCAGATCGCAGCCCCTTGGCAAGATGCACACACAAGAGGTACCGCAGCCAGGATTCACACACACACACACACACACACAACAAACAACACACAACACACAACACACAGCACACAACACACAACACACAACACACAACACACAACACACAACACACAACACACAACACAACACAACACATCACAACACACAACACAGCACACCACAACACAACACAACACACCACAACACAACACAACACACCACACCACATCGCAGCACGGCACAACACAACACAACACACCACACCACAACACAACACACCACAACACAGCACAACACAACACACCACAACACACAACACAACACACCACAACACAACACAACACACACACACACGCATGCACACACACACACGAGGTACGCGCAAAGTAAGAGGAGACAAGACGGAAGCGGGAGATGGGAGGCGGGAGGAAGAGGAGGACTGGAGACCGCAGTGCTCTATTCAGAACGAATACCCAACCCAGGAGGGTTGGGAACAAAAACACTTCCCATTGCGGTGGCGGTGCAGGCGTACCGTTGAGAGGAGGAGGAGGAGGAGGTGGAGGAGGGGGAGGAGAAGGAGGAGGAGGAGAAGGAGGAGGAGGAGCAGGAGGAGGATGAGGAGGAGATGGAGGATCTCCCCGAGCGAATTGCTCCTGAGCCTGCCCCCCAGTGGTGTCAACGCCGCCCCCACCCCCCGAAGGCTCCGCCGCGCGCGTGCGCCGGTGCGGCAGGGGAGCCCAGAATCGAATCGACAAGTCGGCTCGGCAAAGAATCGGTTCGGCGGAAATCGGCAGCCGAGCAAGGCAGTCGGATCGGCGGAAAAATCGGCAAGCTCGTGGGCCTCCATGGCCAAATCGGAGCCCAAGTCGGAATCCCAGGCGGCGAGCCTGGGGGGAAAAGAGAGGGGGCGGGCCTTCTCAGAAGGCTCGGAAGTTTCCTGGCCTTCCGAGAAGTTTTCTGAGCCTTCCCCGATGACTCAAACTCAGAAGGCGCGAGCGCGAAGGCTTCCGAGAAGCCCCACCGCCTTCTGAGAAGGCCTTCTCCTTCTCGTTTCCCCCCCTCGCTCGCCGCCGAAACCCGAAACCGAGGATCGGATCGGAATCGGAAGCCGTTGAGATCGAATCGAGAATCGAGAATCGAGACTCGAGAATCGAGAGTCGAGAATCGAGCATCGAGAATCCAGAATCGAGTCGAGATCGGAGCGGGGATCGCATCGGGGGACAGCGCGGGAGGAGCCCCCCGCGTGCGGGGTCCTCGGCCCGCTGGCTCTGCTCCCGCGCGGCCTTGGACCGCGCGGCCTCCTTCCGCTCGAGCATCTGCGGGGGGGGGAGGAGGAGGAGGGGGAAGAGGGGGAGGAGGAGGAGGAGGAAGGAGGAGGAGGAGGAGGAGGGGGAGAGGGGGGGGGGGGGGGGGGAGGGAGGGGGAGGAGGAGCGAGGAGGAGGAGGAGAGGGGGAGGAGGGGAGGAGGAGGAGGAGGGGGGAGGAGGAGGAGGAGGAGGAAGAGGAGGAGGAGGAGGAGGAGGAGGAGGAGGAGGAGGAGGAGGGGGAGGATGGGGGGAGGAGGAGGAGGAGGGAGGAGTGGGGAAGAGGGGGAGGGAGGGGGAGGAGGAGGAGGAGAGGAGGAGGAGGAGGAGGAGGAGGAGGAGAAGGAGAGGAGGAGGAGGAGAGGAGGAGGAGGAGAAGGGGAGGGGAGGAGGGGAGGAGGAGGTGAGGAGGAGGAGGAGGAGGGAGGAGGAGGAGGAGGAGGGAGGAGGAGGAGGAGGAGGAGGGGGAGGAGGAGGCGGAGGAGGAGGAGGAGGAGGGGGAGGCAGAAGTCAGAACATCCAGCCCCAGAATGCCCACCTGGTCAGGAGACGCCCAAAGGCCGTTTGGGCAAACGCCAAACCGTCCGGTCCGGGTGTTGTTTCCTCCCTCGAGGGGCGGGGCGGGGGGGGGGGCGCGGGCGGCCCCGCGCGGCGCCGCCGCCGCGGGCGCGGCCCACGCCTGCCCTCGCGGGGCTGGGCGGTCGTAGCTTTCGGTCGGGCGTGTCCTCCAAACGACGGATGTTGGAAGGAGACCGAAAGGTCGTCGAACACACACGCAACAGCAATTCAACAGAAACCACAGCACACCGTCACCACACTACCCTTGAAACTCTTCTCGGCTGCGCACTCCTGCTGCAGAGGGACATGCCCGACTGAATCGCAGCTTGGTCCCTCTCCTCCTTCAAGCTGTGAGTGTTGCCCGTGGCCACTCCCCCTCGCAGTGCTGTGTGGTCGTAGCTCGGTCTCCTCCTTCAAGCTGTGCCTGTTGCCCGTGGTCGCTCCCCTAGAGGAAGGACAGAACACATAAGCATAGCCTTTTGGCGCTCCGCGCGGATTTCTTGGATCTGCGCTG